CCACACCCTGGTTAAGATGCAGGCGAGTTCTGATTCTCTCACTGGCCAGCCCCTCTGTCTGTCCTTGAACTTCCTTGCTGTAGCCTGGCAGTGCAGGCACATGGCATGTGTCCTCTGTGACATGGGGCCTCAGTTCTTGAACTACTCCCTAAGAGAGGGTTCTTACTGGGGCCTGAGGCCAGGGAAGCCATAGGCTCAGGATCAGTCTAGGCTCCCACATTCTGAACAAAAACTCCCTGCTGACTCAGCGGGGCAGTTTCCCTTGGGCCCCTGGCTGTCTGGGCTCTCTTTAGGGCTTCATGTAGGGGTGCGCCTGGTGAACTCTAGCAGGCAGTGAGTGCCCCCTGCTGCCTGCCAGATAGGATCCCGTGCCCAAACCTCCCCTGGGGATGAGTCAAGATCACACAGGTCTGAAGGCCAGGACACTGACTGGCACAAGGTGGGGACTTGCGAAAAGAAAGCCATCTTCCTGCCCCTCCCTGCCTTTTTCCTTCCTCTCTGACCTGTCCAAAAAAAGTTTTTTTTCTAAGAGGTTTTTCCTCCCCAGACTGAATAGACAGTGAGAGATGTTTTTTTGGTGGAGCGCTGCTGCCTCCAGGTGGATGGCCAGGGACATGACTACCTAGCGGGCTGTCCAACACTGCCTGCTCCAGGTCTCCGGTTCTGTGGCCTTTCTCCTGCAGCGTCCTGGGCTCCTGGTGCCTGAGAGACAGATGTCCGGCAGGAGTGCCACCCAGTTTTCAGTTGGAGTCTGGAGTAGGGGAGTTGGGGAGTAAATGGGAATGGAAAACTACCTTGGAGAACCAGCCCTGACTGCATAAGCCCCTCACATTCCTTCCTCCCTCTGGGAAAGGCCAGGCTGGACAAGGCCTTGAGGGTTGGTCCTGTGCTAAGAGTTCAATCAGCTGAGAGCCAGATTTGATCAGGAACTTCATTTGCGCTGGGGGGTGGGGATGAGAGTGGGGGTGACAGAAGATTGGGTGAGGGAGGCTTCTGGTGGGGGAAGGGTGCAGACATCACTTCCCCAGCCTGCTGCTGGGTCTGCAGCTGGCTCTGTGGCCTCATTGTTGCACCTGTGGTTGGGTGGCGGTGTAACGGCAGGGCCTGCCTCCCCTGGGCACGTGGCCAGGGGCGATGTTATCTCTGTGGCAGTATTTTTACCTCTTCTTTCCAGAGGATGTGGCTTCTGTGGGAGAGCTTCAAAGGCTGCCCCTCCTGGCAGCCCTGACATCATGGAAATGGGAGGGGTCCGCCCCAGCCCCCAAACACCTGCAGGGAAGTGGGAGACTTTTTCCACTTCCTGTGCTACTTCTGGTGACTGACTCAGTGTCTGACCTTTTGATTAATTTCAAAAGACAGTTCTGTGTGTGACGCTTAAAGGCAAAACTCATGCGTGAGTGTGTGTCTGTGGGAAAGTAGGCTGGGACCCCCTCCTCCACCTTTCCTCCCCATCAGGTGTGGGGGAGGTGCAAAGATAGGGCGCTGGCAATCTGAAGGCATTAATGAGATGACAGGTCTGGGTATCTATGTGGCTTGCTCCCACTCTGCTCACAAGTCCTTCTCCCCACACTTTGCTCGAGGAGCACTTAGGATGGGCCACGTGGAGCAGCTGAGGTATCCATTGGCTCTGAGCCATTGGTATGGCTGTGCAAGGCTGGAGCTCAGCGTCCTGACTGCCCTGTGTGTGTGCTTGCCCAGAGTAACTGTGCCTCTGGCTTTGTTGGACAGATGAGGGCCTGCCTGGGCACTGTCCTGGCTAGGGAGTCACCATGTAGGTTTTGCTCTTGCTATTGGTTCTTGACAAGGAAGTTATTCCGAGATCCTGGTTGAATTGTGACATAGTAGGCTTCCCTGTCCACCTCCTCTATGACCCCCACCCTGTACTTTCCTTTCTTTTTTACTTTCCACCCCTAAACTCAGCTCACTCCCCAATGCTAATGGCACCAAGCTATCCATTTGTCCATCTGAAGACACAGCATTAGCTGCTGGGGGACATACCAGTGAATAAGGCATAAAGATCCCAAGGTCAAGTGGGCTTCCTGCAGAGGTGTCACCTGATTGTAGGGGGTCTTAGAGATTTCCATGTGACTCCAGGATCCTGCAGCTTCTGTGTGTTCAGCTGCCCCTTCTGCCTGCTCTGTGACGTGGAAGGCAGGTCTTGGAGTGATGTTTCAGACAATCTTGGAGCTGTGGTCAAATGAGGCTTTTTAGTTCATTCTTCTGCCTCCAAGGCCAGCCGGCACTTACGCCTATGGGACAGAGCACCTGTTCAGAGAACTCTGTTCTGCACTTGGTCTTGGCAACACGTTCTTGCTGACTCATCAGTCTTCCTGCTTAGAGCAGGGTCCAGGCTAGCTGTTCAGGGTGGGACTCTCCATGAACCTGACCGAGTTTCCTCTGCTGTCTCTTCCGTCTGTGACAAGTGGGGCCCAGATCCTTGCTTACTGCTGGCTCCTCTACATGGGGCCTGCTGCCCTGACCTTCCTGGTGGGCACAGGAACTCCTCTCCTGGGCCTCCCCCAGGCCCCTTGACATCATAAGTAGGACCTGGAGCCAGACATGGCCCCAGAGCATTTAGAGAGGGGAGGGCTCTGCCTTTGCTCCTGACACTTGCTCATCAGTCACCCACTTGCTCCTGGTCTAACCCTTCTGACCTCAGCCCTTAGTGGCTTCAGGTTTTCTTTCAGCTTCCTGCAGAAGGGAAGGCTAGGCAGCACCTAGCTGTTCTCTGCTTCCTGCAGAGAGTGATGGACAAGACCCACCCTGCTCCATCAAAGCCGCAGGTTTCCTCTGGGGACTGAGCAGTGTCTGGTTGCTGGAGGCGATTTCTCAAGGAGTGTAGCTGACCCTGCTCCCTCCATAGTCCCTGTGTGACCAGGCCTTGTCATCCTCTGCCTCAACTTGGGCCAGGTCTAAAGAAGGAGGCCTCAGCCTGTGCGAAGGCGAGAGTGGATCCCCAGTCCCTGTTGCACCACTTGGCATAGGTCCTTGGGTAGTTTGGGGGTGGGGGTTTGGTGTCTGCTGGGATCTGCTACCCAGGGCCCTGGCTGGCATGGCTTCACAGGCTCTCTGAGCATAGTGGCAGGAGGTGTCTTTAACTTTTCACTGCCCTCCAGGCTCCTGCCCCCTGCCCTTAACCCTCTCTCCCACCATCGCATTCAACCTGGAAATCCCTGTGGTCAGCTCACAGATCAGCTGCCATCCTGGCCACCACCCTGACCACTCCCCTCCCAACTCATCCCCAACTTCCCTCACCAGTGTCAGCTTTATTCAGAGCAAAGTGAGTTACCGCTGTAGGGGGAAAATGAGATAAACCAATTTGCCCTGAGTTTTTAATGCTTGATATCGGCTTGCTCTATTAACCCTCCCAAGGGCATTTTCATTTACTACAGGGGAGAGAATGCCTTAATGGAAGATACTGCTGGTGGTGAAATCGCTGGTATTGTGTCAGAGGGATGGAGAGGCAGTTTGGAGCTAGGACTCACTGGCGTTCCTTGCAGGTGGCAAAGGCACATTTGGGAAGGTGGCATCTGTCTGCCCGTGCAGGAGAGTGACCTTTAGTGGGATCACCTCTGAGACTTCCCCTTTAATGACCTTTAAAAGGCTTGTGTTCAGGCTGGAGATGAGGTGGTTTAGAAAGAACTGGTTATTCTGTGACGACCCTTGGTAGGGCTGACCGGGGATTAGGACCCTGGCTCTTAGTTTGACACGGATCACAGAGTCAGTGATACACAGAGCTGGGAGTATCCTCTGTAGCTAGTATTTCATAGGTGGCGACCCTGTCCCTCCTGAAGGGGAAAGCCATGCTTTGGGTCATCTATTCAGTATGCTGACACTATCTGCAGGGCAGGCCTGGACCGTAGTGGGAAAGATTTGCACATTTCAGGCTGGTGTGGTAAGAACACACAGGTACATTGTGCAGGTATTTGGAGATGGGACTCTTCCCATCGCAGGGAATTAGGAGCCCCTGGCTTTGGATCTTGGCAGTGGTAGCTGTTAGGAGGCTGGCTGGTTGGTCTCTGAGTGTGTTCCTGTGAGTATCCACGGCCCTGGTGGTCGCAGGAGTCACAGGACAGTGAGTCATGTGCTCTCGAATCTCCTCTTGTCCCCAGGTGAGAGCATCTGCTCTCCCTGGATTTCCTTCGTCTTTTCTTTTTTAAAAAGCTTTACTCATTTATCTGAAGGGCAGAGTTACAGATTGGGGGAAGGAAAGAGAAGCAGAGACAGAGAAAGAAGAGAAAAAGATTCCCTGGTTTATTCCCCAAATGCCCCAATGGTAGGAGCTGAGCTGATCTAAGGCCAGGAGCTTCTTCTAGGTCTCCCATATGAGTGCCAGTGGCCCAAGCACATGGCTGTCCTTCACTGCTTTCCCAGGCTCATTAGCAGGGAGCTGGAGCATTAGTGGAACAGCTGGGACTCAAGCCAGTGCCCATATGGGATGCTGGCACTGCAGGCAGTGGATTTACCTGCTGTACCATGGTGCTGCTCCCACCCTTGTTCTTGTGTCCAGGTTGGTGGGAGAGTAAAATCTTGCTGGGGCCACAACCTCCTCCTGGCATGCTCTGGGCACCTCAATGGACTGGGCGTGGGGCTGGGACCTGGACAGCAGAGTGGTGGATTGTCCCTGCTACACAGTTGTAGGGCCATGCAGGGTTTAGACAGAAACCCAGTCCTGGAGGGCAGGAGAGAGTGGGTTGGCCTTTTTTGGGGACTTGCTGGGTGATTCTTGTCTGCCAGATTTCGGCTGCTGGTCACCATAATCCACATGGATCAGTTTCCCACCATGGGTGGCTCTGTGGTGTGGCATGGAAACAGAAAAGTTTTATGAGAGTTTTTCTGGTCTGCAGCCAGTTATTCTAGGAAGAAGTTGACTTGAGTGGCTTGTGATAAGTTGGTTTCCCTGGGCAGCGTGATGGACAAAAGCCTCAGTTACCCTCTGCCCAGCCCGAGGATGGCAACCAGAGACCCTCAAACCCACCCAGTTAAACAGCAGCACAACCTTTGATCTTCGCAGTCACCTTTAATGATGAAATAGGCATGGAGTCACAATATGGCTCAGATATACAGCAAGGCCAGGTCTAGAGAGTAAGCCTACTCCCCTACCACCCCCAGATAAAAGCAGAATATTCCTCTTTTTTTTTTTTTAAAGAACACTATTTTAAAAAATACAAACATTCTTCAGGAGCTATAGCTCAAAAGAGTCCATGGGGTGTTGTGGGTATGTCCCCATCATGGGGAGGGAGGGCTGGGGACAGAAGGGTCAGGCTCTGGGGGATGGGGACAGAGCCTGTGAGAGGCTGCCACTTGCTGTGAGCATCAGGCAGTGGCAAGCAGCAGAAGGAGGGCAGAGGGGCGCAGGGTAGCAGCAGTGCTGGGCAGCTTGTCCACAGTCTTCATCGCAGATCTGGTTGGATCCAGCCAGTGGCACTGGCAGTTTGGGCCAGGGTGGTTGTAGGAGTCTTCTTCTCCCTGGGCAGGGTTTGGGTGAACACCCCCTGACCTCCAGATTGAAGGGAGAGACAAGTGGCGATGAGGAGGGAGCAAGACTCTCGCAATCTTGCCAATCTGGGAGGAGGAAAAACAGAAGTCAGACTGGAGGACTCGGACTCGGAAGTTCTGCAGGGATGCGAAAGTGGTAGCTTTGTGGCCCTGAGGCTCTGGGTGATGGTGGGGAATGGTGTGCATGAGTTAGCAAGAGGGCCAGGGAAGCTGGATGAGGTAGGCGATGGGGACAGGATTAGTACAATAATCTGTGGAGTACAATAATGTCTTCTCCCTTGTTGAGCTGGCAGAGGATGTGAGGCAGGGATGGGGGAGGCACTCTGACGTACACAGGGGCACCCAAGGGCATGTGGAATGTAGGGCCTGGTCTCGTGTTTCTCTGTTCTCCCACTCACTGGCCATGGGGAACCTTGAGGTTCTCTGACCTCGGCTTCTCCATTTCTAGGAGGAGGTAATGACAAGTGCTCTTCACACTTTGTGGGAGAAAGAACTTGGCCCAGGAGGCTGCCATGAGCGTGTTTCATGCTACACACATGGCAGGCTGTTGTGACTCATGAGTGGATTGTGTCCCAGGGAGAAATGGCAGATCCAGGGGACTTCATGGCGAGACCCTGAGTGGAAGGCAGCTCTCAAAACTTGGGCACCAACCTCCCACTCCCAGGTTATCCGCCTAACCCCTCACTCACCTTAGCTGGACCACAGGCGCAGGGTCATGAGCAGGTTAAATCCAACCACCTTTAGAAGGAGGACGCGCAGCCCAATCACCGACAGGTTTTGAAAGTTCAGGTTCATGTCTGTAAAATCAAGGGGCCGTAGTGGTTACAGGAGGAATCAGAGGGAGCATGCTGGAGGTTTGCCTGGCTCCACCTGACACCGCATGATTTTCCCCAATGCAGAGCTGGGCCCTTGGGGGTGGGCTTGAGCCCATGTGCAGGTTCCTTGCAAGCATCCTTTGTGTACTGTCCTAGGATCCACCAAGAGGCTGCCTGCACTGGGCCTTTATTTTAATGGCTGAGCCTCTCTGGGCATGAGGGCGGGCTAGGTGTTCAAAAGTGAAACTCACAGTTCCCAGGGCCTGGGCCCCTTGGGCAGAATCTAGGGGCTGGGATGACTCAGTAGGGATGGCTCCAATGGAAACTGCTCCGGACTCAGGGTAGGTGGCGAGGAGTGGAGGGGATCATGCCTACAGCAGACATGACCATCTGCTGCCACTCAGGATGGAAGATAGAGGCCCTGGCTATGCAGGGATGCATGCAGGGGACCCGGGGAGTTCAGAGACCATTGCCAGCTGGGCCACCCCGCAGCTCCCTGAGGCTTTTCTCGCAGATGGGCTATGAAGTCACTAGAGACCCACCCTCAAAGTACTTGGGAAGGAAAAGAAAAGACCCCCTCCCCCCAGCAGCAGCTCTGAGCAGGTCTTGAACTGCTGTTCTTGCTTCTCACACTTTTCTTTGAAGATCCACTAATCCTCCCTGCCAACCTCCATCACCTTCCAAACCCAGTGCCAAGCTGGGCTGTACCCTGCTCACCTGTCTCAAAGCTTTGCTCCACCAACTTGGCATCACAAAGTACATCTACAAGGAGAGAAACAAGGATGTTTATTTTCTCAGTATCTGGAGCAAGCTGCTGACCCAGACCTCCCAGCTGTTGGCAGGTGAACATCCATAGCCTTTCCATGTTCCCTTGTGGGGAGACTTGGATGCAGCTTAGGGTGTCTGCTGGAGAGGGCAGCTGACTCTGGGAGGACCAGCACTCCAGGTTCCAGGCACTGTTCCATTTACTCAGCAGGCAGTGGTTGTGCAAAGCATGTGTTCCATAACCCACCCAGGCCATAGGGACCCATCTCACAGATGCTGGTCAATGGGAAGTTAGGGGCAAACAGCATCCAGTGAAGGCAGGCAGGGGGCAACTTAAAGGAATGCCTCCTTCTGTCACCTTCTCCTTTGCTTTGCATCTAAGACTTTCCGTGGTGTGTCACCATGGGCTACACTGTTCCCCTGTGAAAGGTGGGGTTAGGGTGGAAGGGGGGCTTTCCTGATGGCTGATGAGACTGGGGCAGCCCATTTGAGCAAATCTGAGCTCCAGGCAGAACCAGCCTTTTCCAGTTGCCAGCTTGCCATGCCTTGAAGCTGTACTCACCGGAGGAAGCTAAAAGGCTGGAGTTGTTGAAGACATCTAAACAGGAAAGGTTGCCTTTGGTACTCCAGGCCAGGACACCATTGCTCTTGTGATCCATGGACCTCATGTCCAGCACGGTTTCCCCTGAGATGAACGTATCACCTCCTGTATTTTCTGGCAGAGTGGTTTTAGACTCATAGTCAGTGAACAGGCAGGCGGAGAGGTTGTTGGACTTAGAGCTCAGCTGGAAGATGACAGGCTCGGGGTCCTTGATATCTGTGGGCCAAAAGGACTGGGGTTAATACTGTGTTTCTCTTTGCCTCTGTGCCTTAACCCAGGCCACCATCCAAATACAAGGGATGGACAAGAGTAGGGACTCTGTGGGGTCAGCAAGTCATATTCTCAGTGTCGCATGAGAGATATTGTAATATTTTAGAACCTGGGTGGCCAACATGATGGGCTGGGGGCCCAGGGACAGGCACATGCCTCGGGTTCTGTCCATACCATTGAGGGCGACCAGAAAGACAGAGCTAACTAATGCTGCTCGTTTCTCTCCGTATGGATAAGAGGAAGTTCAAACCTCAGCAAGCCTGCTCAGCAAACAGCTTTGGCAGGAGAGCGGGAAGAGAGGAAAAATGCTCAGCAAAGCAAACCAGAAACCAACAGGCATTTGCCCGACTTCACCCCAACTTTGGTAGGGATTGGGGCTTTATGCTATGGGCACATTAAGTTGCAAAACTGATTGCAACATCGGGAGATATCCCCTTCATTGGTAAATGTTTTGGGCTGCAAATTAAAACACCTGCCTCCAAGCCTTGGCCCTACACTCTCCTGGTTTGAAAGCCTAGGAGTGAGCCAGCTTCTTCAGTCTCAGGCATTTCACCTGTCAAAATGGAAAAGCTGCCTTGTGCAGTTTCCTCAACAGCAATTCTAAGAAACCAATGTTTCTCCATATAAGATCACATTTAGGGTTAGGCGTTCAGTATCAGTGGTTTAGATGCCTGCTAGGATGCTGACATCCCACACTGGAGTACCAGGGTTCAATCCTCTGCTCTGATTCCTAAATTTAGCTCCCTGCTGATGTGGACCTCAGGAGCAGGGAGAATGGCTCCAGGAATTGGGACCTAGATTGAATTACTGGTTCCTGGCTTCAGAGGTCCATTCTGCGTCTCTGGGATGAGTTAACCTGTGGATGGGGAACTCTCTGCCTGCCTCTCAAATAATAAATCAATGAATAATTTAAACACTAAAATATTTAGTAAACGGCAAAGTTTCCTGCCAGCAGTGGTAGCTGGAGCTGCTGGTACTGCTCAGGCACTGCCAGGGAAGCTGCTCCTGAGCAGCACAGTCTGAATCTATTTCTCTCTCCAGGAAGCAGGCTCTGGTCCCTCAGTGCCGAGGCGTGTTTTTACCGTGAGTCTCATTGTTTATTCTTTCCCAACCTCAGCTTTCAGAGGAGGAAGCAAGGTTTGCCAGGAGGATTAACACATTGGGGCCACCCAGAGAGTTTCCAGCAGGGCTGGGATTAGAATTTCCTGCCCCTGTGGTTCTCTCTCCCTAGCTCCTTGCTGTGCACATACGATTTCTCAGACCCCATGGATGTGGCCTGCTGGCTGAGGCAGCTGGGGTGGCCTTGGCAAAGCAGATGCTCCACTGAATCCCAAACCAAAGAAATCAGTTCTTGGCACAGCTCAGGGATGCTGAGTCAATGCAGGGCTGCCTGCAGTGTTGACCGTCCCAGAGCAGGGCTGGGCTCCATGGTTGGATGGGAGGGACATGCAAAGCTCTGGCCTCCAGAGAGTCTACTTACTCCTTTCTAGCTTTCAAACACAACCCTCTTTTACTGGGAACAGGAGACAGGAAGTCATTAGTTTCCCTCCCATAATCCTGGATTTGGCAGTCCATAGTGGGGTCTTGGGCAGGGGGATGTGAAAGAGCATGGGAATACTGAATGTGGCCTTGTAGGGAAGGCACAGGATCAGGTGCCACCAAGTATAGTCTGACCTCAGGAGGGAACCAGAAGTACATCTTTGGATCCTGATTAAACACTAGCTGCAATCCTTGAGGCCTAATGATGCTGATCTGGAGAAGGGTAAGATCACTAATTCTGTGGCTTCTAGCTACATGTGATTATGCAGATCAAAATTAACCACTATAAAGCAAAATAAAATTCAATTGAAAAACAAAACCTTCCACTCTGTCTGTCTCTGTGATTTTGACTTTTGAATCAATTAAAAATAAGGGTGTGGGGCAGTGTTTCGGCACTGTGGGTTGAGTTGCTACTTGCCATCCTCTCTGAGTGCTAGTTCAAGTTCTGGTTGCTCCACTCCCAGGTCCCTGCTAATACACCTGGGAAGGCAGTGGAAGATGCGCCAAGTGCTTGGGCTCCTGCTACCCATGTGGGAGAGCCAGATGAGATTCCAGGCTCATGGCTTTGAATCGTCTCAGTCCTGGATGTTGCAGCCATTTGGGCGAGCGAACCAGCAGATTAAAAAAAAAAAAGTCTCTCTCTGTTTCTGCTTGCCTCTCTTTACCTCTGCTTTTCAAATTAAGAAATCTTTAAAAAATAAAAATAATGCAACCTCACTGTAGGTGCTCAATAGCTACATGTACCTAGTGCTTACTTTCCTGGAAGAAGGAGACTGACAAAACATTTCCATCATCACAGAAAGTTCTATTGGACAGGGCTGGTCTAGAAGGAGCCATGTCATAGCACATGAGATTTTGAGGAATGGCAATGGGGCTAGGCATGAGGCTTACAACCATCCTCAAGTCTATGAGGGGCTCCTGCAGAGAGCCAGCTGGCTATTGCTCGCCTTTGCTAATGACAGATCAAGAGGAAACAGCACTAACATGGAGTCATAAAAACTGAGGTGCATTTAGCTTCTCTCAATCCTGCTTCCCCACCCACAGTTTTGCTCTTGTTTCTACTGTCCAGCTTCCTGCTTCATTTATTATTTTTAGAGAAAAAGATAAAGCCACACTGGAGGTATTTGGTATTTTTAGTCCCCTTTTACTTTCATCCCTATTTATCTCCAGCTGCTTTTAATTTGGAGGTCGTTAGGGTCCATATGTGAGAACCTCATGGGGAGAGACATTTTACTCTATCTGAGCAAGAAAAACGTACCCTTATCTCTGATGATGTCAGAAAGCAGCCTTGGCAAGATCAGATCAATTTTTCAAGGTGGAAGTTCAGCTATTTTAGATCCTAGTCTGTCATTAATTCAAAGATAACTGCAAAGCACGTGTCTAAATTCCACAGTACTTTTTTAATTGGAGAGGGATGGAGAGAGAGAGATTGAGACTAAGAGATAGAGAACAAGAGAGAGTTCCTATCTGCTGGCTTACTCCCTAAATGCTCACATTGGGCTTGGGACAGAAGTTGGGAGCAGGAGCCCAGTCCAGGTCTTTTCTGTGGGTGGAAGGGACCCAGTCACTGGAGCCATTACCGACTGCCTCTCAGGGTCTGTACTGGCAGGAAGTTGGAGTCCAGAGTTGAGTTAGTTATCAAACTTGGGACCTCAAACAATGGGACCCAGGCTTTTTAACAGCTTGGCTAAATGCCTGCCCTGCTCTAGTGCTTTGCCTGACCAGGGCACGGTGTGATTGAAAACCACTGCTGAACCTGTGCTCTGCAGTTACGAACAGGGAGCCTGCACAGACCCGGGAGCACAGGGAGGCCCTGGTAAGCATCAGGAAACCGGGAGTGTGGGCAGACTTACTGGGAATAATGGAAACCGTCGTGCCTTTGCCAAATTGCAAGTGTGAGGCAACTCCTTCGTACCACTGCCAGTGGCTCCATTACAGTAACCTTTAGGGCCCTCCTCCTCCAAGAAGAGGGCAGGCCCTCTATGAGTCCACGGAGGAAAGGGAGGGAGGACTGCATGTCCTGGGCCATCCACAGACAGAACTCATTCTTCTCACCTTCGCTTCCGGTCTACATTTTCAAATAGGGTTCCCAACCTTCCAGGGACTGGTGCTGTCCCTGCTTTCTGCATTCTTTTGAAGGCTGTAGTGTTTCTTTTCCTCAATGCCCAAGAATACTTTTTTTTTTTTTTTTGGCTTGGCTCACTCATCATATGTTTACTTAGGCCAAAAGGCATGTGATCTGTTAATTTCTAAGAGCCAGTCTTTTTCCATATTGGCTTCCCTGCTTGAGTGCCTCTTCGTTCTTTGCTCATACTGATTTTTGCCTTCCTTTGGGGCCCGATAAGTCCTTTCTGTCATGTAAAATTTCTCTATCCAGGCTAACATTCTAGATAGAACCCCATCCCTCCGAATCTGTATCGTGCCCATTGATATCAACTGGTTATTATGAAACTAGTCTCCAGGTTGCTAAATTTACAAACTTTGACTAGTTTTTATTTGGGGACAGGTCAAGCATCTATCTTAGACTTCATAGGCTGTCTACCATTTTCTAGAGTGATGGCCCCATAAAAAGCATTAAAAACATCCACTGAACAATTAAAGTCCAATCTTAATGTGTTTGACCTAGAGAAACACAGATACTGAAGATTAATCGTGATGCTTTTCTCCTTCCCAGACCTCTGTAAGACAATTACTTACAACATCCCCAGTTGGCCTCACTACAGTAATAAATGATAACCTCCAGAGTTGAGATTAGTGACAATGGCCCCTGGAGTTGCAAATGGGAGCCCCTCCTGGGATGACTTACCAGTTATTATGGACACCTGGGTCCCTTTCCCAAACATGAGTTTACCAGTCATTCCTCCATATTCACACCACAAGTGGCATCATTACAGAAACTCTTGGGACCCTGTACAGCATAAACAGGAGCACTGATCTTCCATAGAGTGGAAGAATCTCAATTCTAAGGATTAGACCTTTTGATATTTTATGCTGAGAGAGAGAGAGTGAGAGAGAAGCTCTGCTGTTTTCCCAGGTGCACTAACATGGGAAGAGGAGTATCAGATGGGACTCTGATACAGAATGCTAGTGTCCCAAGCAGCTGCACCACAACACCAACCCTTTTTACAGAGATTTTTTTTGAAAAACAGTTTTTAATTTTGGCAAATTACAACTTATCTTTTTTCTTTTATTGTCTGTTCTTTAAATTTACTTAAAAATTTTAGTTTAGAAGCAGAGAGACATATGAAACAACAAAGAGATAAAGAGAGAGAACTCCCATACACTGGGTTCCTTTTCTGAATGCCTGAAATTGGCCGCTGACTGGAGCTGGAGCCCAGAGTCTAGAATGGGTGGTACAGGCTCATTTCTTCCATTGCCACTGTCTCCCATGGTCTTCATTTACAAGA